GTAATATGAAGATAATTACCTAAATCTAAGATTTACTTATAAATATATATATATGTACATATATATATTTACATATAGCATTTTGATTAAAAATAATGAAGACCAAATAAGATCTGGTAGGTAATTTGCCCATTACTGTGAGTTATTTCCATCACTTTTGCTAGCAGAAAGTAGAGAGATGGCATTTTGGGTACCTGAAAGGCAGTCTCCTGTCAATACATTTTTTGAAGTAAAGATGGTTTCACCAGTGAACTGAGAAACTTGGTTTGCTTTAATGTAACTAATAGCAGACATCCACTTAGGTGTTCACCAGGTGCTCACCAGGGTCTGTTGCATTTTAAGCACAAAGGCAGTGTGACTCTTGTCCTCAAGCAACTCTGTTTCAGTACCAGTAGGAAGGTTATATTTGGTACTCCTATGGGTAGGGATTTCAAAGCAACTCAAACTGCTCTCATCAAGTTGGAGGCCTGGCATGTTACTGAGGTCACTCTAGCAAGGCATGGGCTGAGTATCATTTTGGCTTGTAAATTTCTCAGTGAAAACTTCAGGACCCAAAGGCATATTTGGGCCTTCAAGGTAACATAGGGATTAGGTTTTACTTTCTGGAAAGACCAGTGTTGACAGAAACAAAAGCAAACCATATGAGGTTGAGGATAGAAGCTTGAAGTAAAAAACCAAATACAGGTTAAAAGGTCTATGAGGCCAACTGACTGATTACATTTTGTACTTCTGGAGTCAAATTATCCTGCACTGTCAGTATCCCCCTTAATAGCTAGCTCATCACTGCCCACTTTCATGTTTGACCATACATCTTTGTGATGAGTAGACAAATCATTTTGGAATATGCTAACAGATCACTAGCTTCCTTTTGTTCTTCAACACTGTTACATTAGAACATGATACTTGGGGCTGCCCGATTTCATTTTCCTGAAAATGCATATTTGCGGTCATGCATATTTGGTTCACTCTAGAACATGAGAACTGTGTCTTCTTGGATCCAGAAGACCCTGTTCTTTGTCCCACATATGGTTGTTCCCATCAGTGAACCACAGAAGAGTGTTGCTTGGCCTCTTAGGCTTGGCTCGAGGGTCCAGATGAAGCCCCTAACAGGTAGTAGTTGTGTTTGTTGGTGCTGTTTGCTTATAGTTTGTCATCTCTGTGTATCCCTACCATTTGCCCAGTGCAATGAGGTAGTGCCTTTTCTTCTCCCCCCCACCCCCCTACCCCTGTGCCCAACTTGATTACTCTTGAGAAGGAGTGCTCTGAGGTCACACTCCCATCGGCATTGTTTCCAGGCTTTTGTCAGTTTTCTGTCATTCAGGAACATTTCCTGGAGTTGTTTTTACTCGTTCCTTAAGCGTGCATCCTATCTCTCTGGAATCCCCCTGCTCCAAATCTTTTCCTTTCACTCCCACATTTTAGCAGATTACAATTGATAGCTCTGTCTTCCTGTTAGGGCACCTCTGCTCGCAAACCCCACTAGTCATCTGTTCTTTCCTGAGGAAAAAGGGAAGGAAAGCTAGCTTCAGAGGCAAGTTGAGAAAGGCTAAAAGATGGGTACTTGATAAAGTGGGTTTTTCTTTTACAACCCAGCCCAGCCCCTCAAAGAAGAGAGTGTTCTCTGTTCCCCAGGAGAAGCCCAACATTCTGGGAATTCAGGAAAAGCTTGGGAGAAGACACCTAGTACACCCCTTGCATGTTCTCTTGCTAAGACTGCATTGAAGGGAACATGAAGGCACTCCTGAGGCCACTTGGATGTTTTCCCTGTGACCAGTTGCAGGAGCTAGCAGCAGAAGCCTTGGGTGATTCTAGAGTGATTCACAGTGGGCTGTGACCGCTTTGGGGTCACATATCAGATATCCTGCATACCAGATATTTACATTACAATTCACAAGAGTAGTTAAATTACAGTTATGAAGTAGCAATGTGAATAATCTTATGGTGGGGGGGGTCACTACAACCTGAGGAACTGTATTGAAGAATCACAGCATTGGGAAGGTGGAGAACACTGTTCTAGAGGGAGACTGGACTGTTTAGCCCTGAGAGCCAGAGAATCTGCCTGGTGTCTTTGGACACCTTAGGAGAGATGGTAGGGTTTGTAAAGGCTGTTCTTCACCTATTAGCGAGAAAGAAGGGAGGTCCTGGTTAAGCTGTCTTCACTGGGGTGCTAGTGGCCAGGTTAAACTGTCCTCATTGGGGTACTAGTGGTCTGGTTAAGCTGCCTTTACTGGGGTACTAGGCATTAAAGAAGGAAAACAATAACTTCATATTTTGTCTTTTATGCTCTTTAAAGCCAGACTCTTAATTTTCACAATGTCTTGTTTGTAAGAAAGCTTTTCCAGCTTTTAAAAAAATTGTTCTAATAAAGTACAGTCTTAGTGGGAAAGTATTTAAATTGCTCTTGTGCTATTACTGGTCTCAATATTATTCATGTCTAATTACACATTGTCTCTCTCCAAGAGTGAATAACTGAACTATAATTGGCTTGCATCAGGCTTCAAAAACGAAGAATGCTGGCTGGGTTTCCACAGTGTCTGTGCATGGCACATAATGGTGACACAGTGGCACTGCCTTTCAGTGTTGCTTTCGAGCAGCCACTGCCTGTTAGCCAACCAACTGACCAACTGGCCAGCCAATCAGATTGTTATCCTGTAAGAAAACCTTGGCACTCCCTGATGAAAGAGGATCTGCAAGGGCTGGCCCTACAAATGTAAAACCGGAGCTTGCTGGTGTCTTAGAAAAGTCCTGTGAGCTTTTATTTCTTTTCCGCCCCCAGCTGTGGCTTTTATGTCCACTCCTTTCTGCTCTTGGATCTTTTCTTACCCCATCATGTTTTTCTTGGGAGCAAATCACCAGTAGTAATCACAGAGGTATTTAAATATTGCCATACCAGGATTCTGAGGAGTAGGAGAACCCCCACCTGCAATCTTCTGCGTGTCACTGGGTTCATTTCTGCCTTACCTTAAAAAATATTTTTTTCAAATGATGATTACATTTTCCCCCTTCCCTTTCTTCTTTCCAACCCCTCCCTTTCATTCTTCTCATCCATACTTCTCTCAAATTCATGGTCTCTTTTTCTTTAATTACACACACACACACACACACACACACACACACCACCCATTCATTTTGCGTATGTCTGTCATCTCAGGACTGACCACTTGTGTTGGGAAGACCATTTCTTCTACTCTCAGCAGTCCCCAATTGTCTATAATTCTTTTTCTAGTGTTGAGCTTTCTTGAGCCTTCTCTCTTCCTTGTTAGTTTTTCATTGGTGTCATTGTTGTTCAGGTCTTGTTAAGTTTCCCTTTTTGACTAGATCCTAAATGAATGTTTAAAGTCATAGCTTCCAGGATAACTGGGGCTTCCACTGTGGAGACATATATCCATTCGTGTCTGTCTGGTTACCTTGCTTGTTTAGTCTCTAAAAGAATTTGCATCTTCACAAAAAATGCCTCCATTGCAAAAGCAAGCCTCCCACTTTGTGCTTGCCCTATACTGAGTCTCACACAGTGAGCTCCCCAGGGTGCCCCTGCTGCCCTCACAGGTCAGCTCATTTAAATTGAGCTCCTTTTGCTTTCTGTCTTCAAGCTCCTTGCTAACAAAACACTTTTTCCATCACCCAGAGAGAAGGGACCCCAACACCCTTTGTGGAGTTCAGAGTCCAAATAACTTGAAACTAGAAGATGAAAATGTTACTGAGTGGTTCCTTGGAGGCTTCATCACGAAGCTAGAGCTGTCAAGGTCGATGCTGTAGCCCAAGTAGTTCAGCAAGCTTGATTTGGGACCCTTTCCCCTCTTTCCTGGTATAACACGAGAGAAGTTATGTAGCCTCTGAGTTGTCTACATCTGATTAGGTTGTGGTTTCAAGGCTCCTTCAGCATCCCAACCCATTCTTTCAGGGATTGAATGACAGTCGATTATAGTTGAGGTACAGTTTTATATTTATAATTGAGGATGCAGGAGGGTCTTTTAAAACATATATCTTGGTTACCACACATATGGTTTAAAAAGTAGTTACTATTTTTTTCCTCAAGTGGCAAACAGAAACTTCCCCTTTTGAACTGTTCCTGTTTTGACCTTGCTTTTTGAAATTACTTATTATAAAAAGGAAATATTCATAGAGGCTTAACATGTTGTTGGAAGATGGTGTTCTTGGGGTTCCTCAATAACTGGTGGTACCTGCATTCATGAGCAGCTGCCCGTGAGGAACACTGTGTTCGTCTGGTGTCTCTTGTTACAGAGAGGATGTAGAATACTATGGCCACTTAGCAGGTTTCAGAGCGAGCATTTGGGATGAATAAAGGCTTCTTTTGAAAAGTCTTCTCGGAGGTGCAGAGTAATAAGTATGCCTGCTTTACAGAGACAGCCTTCGGTTTGTTGACAGTTTGTAAGGCTGGATTCTGAATGGCATGAGTCTTCTGATTTAAGTGACTCTGGGCAGGGACTACACAACAAATCCTGTATGCATGTGCTGTGGACACTGTCCTTTGTTCATAGCACCAGTGGTCCTGTACGCAGCTTGCCTCACCTACAAAGTCACACTGTTTGGAGATTCATGGTTCCTATAAACTGGAGGGAACCAATCTTCAGCATTTGCTCTGAGAATTGGAAGGCCAAGTGGAGTGGTGCCAGAGTTGTAATCTTCACGGTTTGAAGAAATATGCTTGCCCACTGTTCCAATTTCTCGAGCAAGTTAACAGTTAATCTGAATGGAAAGGGGACAGTTTATAAGGTACATGACTGGAAATATGACGATATGCCCTTAGACAGGTCTGGTGTGTAGTGTTTTCCTAGCACTAGGCACAGGCTTGCTCTGCTCGTTTGCCCAATCACAACTTGGTCCCTCTACCAGGATAGCTGGGGTGAAGTTGGCAAGGAGGGAAGGCCATTTATTTCTCAGTGAACAGATAAGGAGGGGTAGTGATGACCTTGGGTTTCTTTCCTTATAAGCAGCTCATTGTATGAAGCATGTACTTTAATTGACTTATTTTCTCCTAGACTGGATGGAAGGCTGATGAAGAAAAGTAGCAGCATGACTGAGGTAAATGGTTGTTTCATTCTTTTATGTTCTAGTGTCTGTTCTGGGTCTTCTGAGACAATCTAAGGCAATGATTCTGGCCAACTTAAATATATAAAGATTGTGGGGATTACAGATGAAGCAGTCAAGCACACATTCCACTTAATTAATGTAGTTATATATGTATATTGAACAAGCACAAATTTACACTTTTCTTCCAAGTGTATAATTACATAAATTGCACCAGTGTTTTCACTGTAAGAGTCATGTTTCAGAGTGTTGACTGCACTTCCCACATCATGGTATAGCATGTTCACTGTTTGCCACCCAGACTTTTTGGACTCTTTGTATGATGCTGGCGCCTGAGTCTTGAGTCCAAAGTGCAAGTATCCATTTGTGTAATGTAGGACAGTTGCTGGCTTCATTCTTCAGACTTGTAAACAACCAGGATCTCCATTTGGAACAGTTTATGTAACTGTTTTTATGAGCTCATTATTTTTTTCTCCCTTGTTTTCTTGTTCCTTGTTCTCCTTGTTCATTTTATTTATTTTTGAAGTCATTGCATATACATTGGTGTCTTAGTTAGGGTTACTGTTGCTATGATGAAACACCATGACCAAAACAACTTGGGGAGGAGAGGGATTATTTCAGCTTATATTTCCATATCGCTGCTTATCATTGAGGGAAGTCCGGACAGGAACACAAGCAAGACAGGAACCTGAAGGCAGGGTGTGATGCAAAAGCCATGGAGGGGTGCTGCTCACTGGGTTGCTCTCCATGGCTTGTTCAGCCCACTTTCTTATAGAACCCAGGACCACCAGCCCAGGGATGGCAACACCCACAATGGGCAGGTCCTCCCCCATCAATCACTAATTAAGAAAATACCGTACATGGCTTGCCTACAACCTGGTCTTATGAAGGCATTTTCCTTACTGAGGTTCCCTCGTCTCAGATGACTTTAGCTTATGTCAAGTTGATATAAAACTATCCAGCACAATTGGTTAATAGTTTCCAATCTCCCCTTTGACAAAAAATAGGCCTTTCAGCTTTTTTGGTTATATTTTCTGGTATCCATGTATCTATCGGTTTCAAAATATAGAAGATACCTTAAGTCACTTTAGTGGTTTCTTCAAACATGTTAGATATCTGTTCTGTTACCTGCTGGAGATTTAAAGATGACCTTTGACTGTTACGATTCACTTCCCTTTCCTGTCCCATTTCTCTTTTACTTCTCCTCTTCCTCCCCCTTTTCCTTTGCTCCTTTTATCAGGAGTGGGGACGGAGTGTGGGCTTACACTGGCCTCAAACTTGGAGTCCTCCTGTCTCAGCCTCTGGGACTATTAGATGTGTACCGCCATGTCCAGATCTCCATGTGTCTTAGTGCAGTCATGTTCCAGACTGCATTTTAAATATTAATATTTGCCAAGTTATGATAAATTGGTAAATTACTTGGTCTTGGCTGAGCATTGTGATGTATGTTGGCATGTACCAGCCATTCTGCTTCCTAGTTGGTTGTGTGGGGTGTTTTATGGGTAACACTTTTCTTCATCCCAAGAATTCAGAAATTCCATGTTGGGGGCTCCCTTCCGTAATCCCTCTCTCCTTTCCCTCCCTTCTTCTATCTCTTTCTTGACATTTGTAGTTTTCCACTTAGCAACTCAGTTTGATGACTTTCTTGCCCTCGTCTATCATCAAGGTCAGAAATGATAGATCAGTCTTACACTGTATGATTCTGACCTGCTCCTCTGTCTACCCTTTTTTATTTCTCAGAACTCTGTGATTACATTGGGCCCATTTATATAATCCAGGATAATCTCTCCATTCCTCTTTCATTATGATTAAAAAAATAAATCACATCATTTATTCTCTTGATCATATTTAGTACAAGGTAGGTAGTGTTAATATACATCTTGTTTTGTAAAAGATCTTGAGACTTTTTCTCATCCTGGAAAATTATAACTTACATACATAGTAACAGGTCTTTCTCTCTCTCCCTCAGCCCCTGGAAGTCATCACTCTTGCTCTTTTTTGTCAGTGGACTCTGTTGAGTCTCTTTGAAGCTGCTTACTTCCTAATGACCTGACCATTCATGCATGTAGCAGAACATGCATGAGAGAATCTTCTTTTCAAGGATTGAATACTATTCCATTGACAATACTACTACATTTTTCTTATTCATTTATTTGTCACTAGACATATAGTATGGTGTCTTCTAGTCTTGGCTATTGCTCAAACTGCCGCAGTGTCTTTAGGTATGCAAATACCTCTTCAAAATCTCATTTTCAGATATATTCAATAAGTGGAATTACTAGATCATATGATATTCTCTGTGGAATTTTCTGAGGAAATCTCTGTGTGTTCTCCATACCAGTTGTAACATTTCTATCCCTTCACTTGCTGCCATGTGGTTCATTTTGTACATGTCCTGCCTCCTCTGCATCTGACTGGCATCTCTTCTCATCTCTTATCTTCTCCTCTCCTTTCTCCTCTCTCCTCTCTCATCTTCCCTCCCCTCCCCTCCCCTCCCTCCCTCCCTTCCTTCCTCCCTCTCTCTCTGTCTCTCTGCCCTTCTTCCTGGCATCCTCTATGCCCTGAAAATCCTGCTACTAGCCATTTAGCCTATTTATTAAACCAATTATAGTGAAATATATTCACACAGCGTAAAGGAATATTCCACAGTATTATTTCAATATCAAGGTAAACTGAAACTTCTATCATACAAAGCAATATGAATTTATTATTTCCTTTTTGAATTATTTTCTTTGCATTTGGTGGAATTTTGAATTTATTATTCCTTTTTTATTGAGGTAAACTCATGGGGCTTTGGCTTTAGGTTTATGTGTTGTGTGTTGCTTTTACTAACAGGTGGTGTTCTTTATATAATAAATAAATTTATATCTCTATATTACCATGAAGCTTTACCTGAATACTTTTTACAGTGGTGAGAGGGGACTAGGCTTTAAAATTTTTGTCTCATGCTGTTAACTAAGATGGCTGCTTTTTTTTTTTTTGGCTGTGTTTGGTTATTGTGGTTATTGCAGGTCGAACATGCTCTCTCTCTCTCTCTCTCTCTCTCTCTCTCTCTCTTTCTTTCTTGAGTGTGTATGTGACAGGGTCTTACAATGTTGCCTTTTGCCCTGGAGCTTGCTATGTAGACCAGGCTGGCCTCAAACTTAGAGGAATCTGCCTGCTTATTCCTCCAAAGTACTGGGATTGAAGGTGTGTGACACTCTGTTGAAGTGAACATGATGTCTTAAAAGATGACAGAACTGGGTTCTAAAGAACTGTCAAGAGTGTAGTTGCTTTTGCCCTTTGAGTTGTTTATTGACAGTAGGCCAGGGATGTGACTTGGCAGTAGAGCACATGCCTAGCATCTGGGGGGCTCAATCTCAGCACCACAAAGGGAAGGCGGAGCTCAGCATATTGGCGTGCCCAATGTATTGGCTATTTCAGGTTAGGGTTCTGGAGTGGCTTCTTGAAAATTTGAGATTGAGGCTTAGAAAGGCCTTGGATTCATTGTGGGCTTTATGTGAACCTCAAAAAGATTTAAATAGAAGTTTAGAGATTCTAAAAGGGGAGGAAAAAGCGAAGAAGGGAGGTGAGTGTCTTAGTCAGTGTTCTATTAGCTGTGTAGTGACACGATGACCAAGACAACTTACAAAAGAATGCATTTGATTGGGGCCTTGCATGGGTCCATGACCTTCATAGCTGGGAACACGTGCAGGCCAATAGCCATGGCTGCTACACAAGAGCTGAGGGCTCCCATCTTACCCTCAAGTTAGAGGCACACTTAATAGACTGTGACACCTGTGGGCTTCTGGAACCTCAAAGCCCACCCCCTTCCCAGTGACACACCTTCTCCTGCAAGGCCACACGTCCTAATCTTTCCTAAAACAGTTCCACCAACTATGGGAGCCATTCTCATTCAAGCCACCACAAAGGTTAAGGACTTTGTTTTTAATGAAGAAAAAAATGAGTTATATCTGTTTTATGATAATAAAAACGGAAACAGCACAAAATAGAAAAGCTGAAGCAAAGGGAGTGGAGCGGGGACTAGTGGAATATCTTGTTGTTTTCAAGTTATTTACCATCGTAGTGCGATTCTTCTGCTGAGCCGTCCTCCTGCACTTCTAGGGTTCTTTTAGCTCTGGAATTTTATGATGCTTTTTCAAAGTTAATCTAAAACTTTTCCCATGGTCTAAAATCACCTTTGAGTTCATAGGAATGTACCATGTTGTGTGGCTGGGAAACTTAATACCTGACAAGACCTGCCTCAGAAAGCACACATGAGGATTATCATAAAAGAACGGGTTGCTAGATGCGAAATAGTAGCTGTCCGAGTGTGGCCTGAACCTAGCATGCCTACCTGGATGTACAGAGCCAGGCACCATATCCTGTGGGAATGGGGCCAGTGCTTAGGACTGGAATATGCCAGTCTGTTCTCTAACCTGAATGTCACTGTTAGCTCTGCCTCAGTTCCTTTATAGCCCTTCCCATTGCCTGTGGGATAACAAAGAGCCAGTGAGCTTGACTCTGGCCAGATGTTCCGGAGGGAATTACTGGCTGGACACTGCATTGGTGTCTTTTCTGGGAATAGAGCAGTTTGTGTTGAACCTCAGCAAGCCTGTAACCTCCAAATAAGCTTTTACTGGCTTTTGAACTTACTCAGGTCATCACTGAGGCTGTCTGGGGTCGGGATCTGCTATGTGGACTGTACTCCATGGGAATGGCACCATGTGCTGGTCCTTTTGAAACTGAATTTAAGAATATATGTTTAATTCTTGAAGAATTTCCAAGAATTACTATTTTCACCATTTGCTGAGATGATTGTTGTGAGACGTTATTAAAAATATATCTGTTTTTGATGTAGGCTCTGCTGTGATGTCTGGTGTCACATTTACCCTCATCCTGTTCCTTTCAGTATGAACCTAGTGAGGCCAGTAGCGGAGAAGAAATGATGAGAGTTTTCTAGAAATCTTACATAGTTCACAAACTTATTTCAGTAATTGAATCCTTTTCAGCAG